AACCTCTTCTATAGAAGAGGTTCCACAAATCTACTGTGCTGTTTAGAACCAGTTCCAGCTCCCTCTCCCTGTCCATCTGCACCACGCTTGCCCCATCTGCCGCTCACTGATTGGCTGGCTCACCAATTGTCCCCCGCCTCTAAGAGTCCTATCTAAACCTTAATGTCTTAAAGCTGTCAAGTTACAAGACCCTTGCATCCCTAACCCTTTAGAACCCCCCCCCCCCACGGGGATGTTCAAACTTGACAGCTTTAAGACTTTAAGGTTTAGATAGGACTCTTAGAGGTGGTGGGATGATTGGTGAGCCAGCCAATCAGTGAGCGGTGAGCGGGGCAAGCGAGCGGACTTGCAGGGGGAGGGAGCTGGAACTGGTTCTAAACGGCACAGTAGATTTGTGGAACCTCTTCTATAGAAGAGGTTAGAACTGGCAGGAACCCACCCCTGGTTTGAACTCTATCTAGTGACTGGAGGGTATCATGTAATATCTTCCTAAGATAAAATAAGGTGGAACATGGGTATTCAAGAGTATATAGTTAAAACCTTTTCTCATGGTTATTGTGTAGATGTGACTAAATACAGCCAGCAATATGGTGAGGTCTTCTGGGAGTGCAGACTTCTGTGTCATAGGTAAATTCCCCATGTGAAGAAGGATGCCTGGATAATTCACAGTGGCATATGATGCATCACATAAAAGTTATAAATCACTTGAATACTGTTTATAATTGCATTTTAATACTACCAGAAATATGACCAACTAAACAAGAAAGTAGAATAGTCTTTAAGTTCTTATTTTTCCACACTTCTAAGCCACATAAAGGATTTTTTTCCAGCATAGGTAAATCTTTAAAATACTATATTTTAAGCATTTGTGAGGGCTTGCCCTAGATATTAAAATTTATAATGGTTGAGGATTAAAGAAATTGTAATCCTACATATTTAGAGGGCACTAGATGGAGAACGCTACAGAAACATCTTTGAACTAGACTATGAATTAAATCTATCCATTAATAGTCTTTAGTAGATTTCTTCTTGTCAGAACATATTCATATTTGTATGTATTTATTTTGCTAATTGTGTCATTCCCCACCTTTTTTTTAAAGTTTTCTCTAATTCCTCTTCACAGGAACTCGAGGCAATATATTAAAGCTAATAATATTAATATTCATTAAAATGGCATGCTTTGTTTACTCCTTTTGGTATTTAATATTAGATCTAAACATTTAGATTAACACTTCCTGTTTCTCTCTTCTCCCTTTTTATTGCTGTGCTTACACCTTCGAATTAACAGCAAGTATTCAAGATACATGTAAGTCTTATTTTCTGACCTTTTTTTCTCTCCCCGAAATAACATTTTCTATATTTTAAGAAACCTGGGTATAGCAGCAACCTGTATGGTGTTTAACAAGTCTGAAGTAGATTCTTATTAACTTGTTGGAATAAAACATTGGTCTTTATATTCAACTAAAGCCCTGAAATATAAAACCTCGCAATTATGGTATCTGAATTTCAGAATTCCAAAGTGGATCATAATTAAAGGGGAAAATATTTTATCTACATTTTTGTTCTTTAGAGAAGTGACACTTTTCTTGGTCTGAAATATAAACATAATTATATCAATATAATTACTGCTCTTTTCTTCTTTAAACTTTCTGTCCAAAAGACAGGAGAGATGTGTTTAATAAGTAACTGGTTAGTTCACACTGCTTTTTTGAGCCACAACCATGGGGGTGGGTGGAGAAGAGGGAAGAACCAACCAGACTACAGGTAAAATTTGTTGAAGTAAGGGGAAAGACAACAGGAAATGCTTGAATGAGTCGTCACATTCTTATAAGTCACCAAGAAAAGTCAAGGAAGATCAGCTTGTTTTTAAAATTACTTCTTTCACTCTACAGGTAAATAGTTTAAACAAAAATGGGAGCAATTTGTGACCTCATCTACTAGATTGATAAAAAGTATTCAAAAGTTGTGCAGTTGTGTGCTTTGTTTTTAATAGGTGGCGGACTCAAAAAAGCTACTTACATTTTGGACACTTGACAACTGGCCAACATTTACGACCATTCGCAGCACACAGAGGTCACATAACCATGACTTATGGCATTTTTACTTCTGGTTTTCAGCAAAAAAAAAAAAAAAAAAAAAACCTAACCCATACCACATGAAGAATTTGCTTCATGACTACTACGCTCATTTTGCGACTGATGCATTTACTTAATGACTGTTGCAAAAAAGTCGTAAAATTGAGCACAGTCTCATGGTGACCACTTACTATCCATCTCACCTTACAATTGAAATTGTGGGCTCAATTACAGTTGTAAGTTGAGAATTACCTTGTACTTCTGCAGAAGAAAACAGAGGATCAGCTGTTCTGTTCTAGAATTAGGAAAATGAGCATTTGGGGTGATGAATATGTATGCTGCACTCTTGACTTCCTCTTAGTAAAACCTCCTTTAAACAAGATAGATTCATATAGGTTTGTTGGCAGCAATACAGACCATTACAGCTTTCCTAATGAGATTACGAAAAATACTGACCAGGTTTGACAATGCTTTTTTTTTCCAGATTAGCCTTGCTTTATTTTATAATATTTTTTAAATGTACATTCCATCTTTCTCCCCACACATGACTTGAAAAGTTTGAGTGAAATAAAAAGCAACTGCATTTCAAATGATATTATATGGAAAGGTATTTTTTCCTCTTACCTTCATTTTCTCTCTTTCCCTCTCTTATATATGCTTTTGCAGTGCCTCAGCCTCCTACAATTACAAAGCAGTCTGCAAAGGATTATATTGTAGATCCAAGAGATGATATATTAATTGAGTGTGAAGCGAAAGGCAACCCCACACCCACGTGAGTGTTATTTTCTCAAGATTAGTATACAAACAAATATCTGAATGATTACTGTATCACTACAAAAATGGCTGTGCCTAGACCAGAAGTGGGTTGCTTCCGGTTTGGCAAACCAGAAGTACCTAGCGGTGGTGGGAGGCTCCGCCCACCCACCCGGACACTTCTGCACATGTGCAAAAGCATGGTGCGCAAGGGTGCACGTGCGCACACCCAAACCAGTAATAAAAAAATTGGCAACCCACCACTGGCCTGGATTTATGTAGAATTCATGGTTATGTTATTTTGGCAGTCACTTTATGATGAGCAAAGATGGAAAAAAAATTCTCTAATACTAGATCCATGCTTACGGATCATGTGGCTTAGAGCAGACAGAAACAACTGTTTTCACTCCAGTATAAAATAATTGTTTTGTTAAAGGGGTGTATTTCATTTATCATGCTAAGTGTCTCAAATAGTTATACATAATCACAGTGTTTCTGGAGTGTTTTGTGGTAGCTTTGCATCATAAAGGTTCTATTATAATCATTATAGCTCTCTAGGCCTTCTAAGTGCATCTTGGAATTTAAAATTGCCATACCATGATTATTTTGATAACCATCAAATATAGATACGGTGTAAATGTAGTTTTCATCTCTAATCGTCTTTGATACCATTAAAATCCTAAAAGGGTGAATACCTCTGCATTATATTTCATCCAAGTTGTAGGACTCAGGATCCATTACTGCATAGGAAGTTAATATATCTCAGATAATCTGTACATCGTATAGCAACAGAGGCTGCTGTTCTTGAATAGACCCAGGTTACTAACCTTTGGTACAATTCTGTTTACAGGTTTTCCTGGACACGAAATGGAAAGTTTTTTAATGTTGCAAAGGACCCGCGAGTAACCATGAAGCATTGGTCAGGTACACTGATAGTTGACTTCCGCAGTGGTGGGAGGCCAGAGGATTATGAGGGAGAATATCAGTGTTTTGCTCGGAATGACTACGGAACAGCTATTTCCAACAAAATATTCCTCCATGTTTCAAGTGAGTATACTTTAACACAAATTATTAACTTCATTGTGCATTACTATAACTTTATCTGTTACTGGATATGGTTTAGTTTGCTAGGGCTTTGTTTTGTATTTAGAATGGTCATAAAATTTCTGGCAAGCAATAAACTCATGTACAGTTTAATAAATACAGTGTTGTTGATTACTAATAGACGGAAGAGACTTTTTAGCATTATATATTTATTTCAGCACTGTATAAAACAATAGCAACCATCTTCCATTGCAGCAACATACATTTTTTGTAGTGCTGTAAATGTATAATTCATGACTCTACGAAACCTTTCCTAAGCATATTTTGGGATGGGGCAATAAAAAAACTCAAGTTGATAGCTTTGATCACTCAACTGGAGCCATTCTCTTAGATGTTGGATTCCTCCCCTGCATCACTACCTTCACCAACAGCTTATTGTTTCCAATCTGCTCATAAATAGGATCTGTTTATTCGAAGTTTACCGTATATACTCGAGTATAGGCCGACTCAAATATAAGCCGAGGCACCTAATTTTACCACAAAAAACTGGAAAAGTTATTGACTCGAGTATAAGCCTAGGGTGGGAAATGCAGCAGCTA